GGAATTTTGGAGCCAGCAGAGGTAACTCTGCTCTTTTTCTGTTTAGGAATTTTATTGGACAGAACGTCCTGTGTGACTGCTGTCCCTGTGTCCCCTGGGGAGGCGTGGGGGCTGTTCCCAAATGAGGGGAGGACAATGTTCCCTTTGCCAGGGGGTGTGCTGGCAGTGCCCACAGCGATAGGAGAGCGGGATGGGCACACCTCCACCCCGAGATTGTTTCCCCATCCCTCTGCACGTGTGCACAGCCACGATCGTTTCATTCACTGCCCCAAATCCACGTGCTTGGTCTCATCCCTGCTCTTCCAGGGTCAGGAGAGCAGCAATTCCTGATGTGACACACCAACAGGGTTCAAAGAGAGGAGCGGCCTCTTTGTGGGTTCTTGTGCAATTCTGCACACCCTCACGTGTTTTGGTGGGTCCAGCTCCACGTGTTTGGCAGTCAGATTGTGCAGAAAGCCTCACAACAAATGTCAGCGTTGGAGCAAAAGTGATGGAATCAGGGGCWGGCCCAGGGCCAGCTGCCCTCTGGAACTGTTTGCTGGCAGGGATCTGCCCTGGCACACGTTTCCTCTGGGAGTTTGGAAGAAGGAGCCCAGCAGATGCGAAAGAGAAGTTGGGGAAGAGCTGTGTTCAGGACTGCTGGGTGAGGTGTCTGCCTTTGCCTTCCCTCTGGGAATCCCTGGCTGAAGGCATCCCTGTAACTTCCCAAGTCCCCTGATCCATCAAAATCACACACTGAGCTTATACTCGAGCTTCTGAAAGCACCCTCCTTCATGGGACCCTGCCCTAGCACGTGGCAAGGGTTAAAAGAACACCTCACCTTTTTTTTCAGTACCAGAAAGTGCAAGTCAAATCCTGAATTTGGGAAATTTCACCCAAATTCTCATTAAATTTTGATTAGCAACACTGCAGTGTTGTTGAAAGCTCTTCATGTGGTAACAGTGTGGGGTCTCCTGAGGAGGCCAAACTTTAATTAATGACAACAGTCCTGAAAAAAAGCTGCAGCTGGATTTCACAGCTGTCCTGTGTTTGAGAGCCATACATGGGAGCATTTAGCAATGAGTGAACAGAAGGATGTGTCAGTGCCACGGGGAGTAGTAACCCATAACATTTCCAGAAAAAAAATCTACCCACTTCTAACTTGGTTGGAACTAATTCTGACTTGATATTTGAGCTTTGAGGATGTCTTGAGGCTTCCTTCTCTAAAGAGGTGCAGTTAACTTGGATTTTAAAATAGTGAAAGCTGAGTCCTTCCACCCCTAGGAGTGGAGTTTTAAGGAAAAAAAAAAAAAAAAAGCAAGAAATTGGGAGTGACTTTGTCAGACTCCAGGGGATCTGTCAACAGCACGCTCCTGTGACTTCTATTGACTGCTGTGCCTGATGCTGCCCTCAGTCCTTCGGGCAAAATCTATTCAGATTCGCTAATACTTGCTAAATTTGTGTAAGAATTGGTCCTACCAGCTTAAAATACGAAGGGCAGAAGAGATCAGAGTTAATAATTCAGGTTAATTCAGCCATAAACATGTGGCAGTTGGGATCTCCAAAAAGCACAKAGCAGTTTGGTTCCAGCAACAAAAAATAGCTCATAAAACAGGAATAACTTTTATTAGCTGACTTTTGAAGGCATGGATTGTCAAGATTTCAAGCTCTACTAAAAACAGAGATTGAAAACTGCTTGAAACATGCAATTAAACAAACAAAAAAAAAATTCTCCTTTCTCAAGTAACAATTTGTCTTCAGAAGCTGGAGCTTTAAATAAAACGTCARTCGTTGTGAGGCATTGCAATTGGTTGGTAAAATTGCAATATTTGGCAACATGGAGGACACAGAAAGTTCTGAAACGATAAAGATTAAACACTAGATGGAGTGGTTGGACTAGAATGGAACTGGGATTTGCAAAGCAGCTCTAGTAACAGAGTGATTTTGGCTGTGAGGATGATTAGAACAGCAAGCAGGTGCCCAGAGAGACTGAAAAGTCTCAGAACTGGAGTGGACACAGCTCTGGGCAGTGTGCTGAGGCCACCTGAGCACGTTAATGAACTCGCTGATCTCCAGCCTTAGCAGCTCAGTCATTCTGTCGTTTAAAACATCCATATTTTTATTTGCACGAAGCTGGGCTGCTTTTTTTTTTTTTTTTTTTTTTTTTTTTTTTTTTTTTTTTTTTTTTTTTTTTTTTTTTTTTTTGTGGATTTCCCACTGGATGTCTGGCCAACAGCCCCGTGCAAATGGTTTTCCAAGGTGGAATTCCTGCTTCTTGTGAGCTCTGCACAAGGGTGAATCCCACACGTTCCTCATCCTTCCCCTCCCTGGTGTGAAAACCCTCGAGCCCAGTGGCCACGAGACAGGAGTGTCCGAGCTCTTTGGGTTGAACAGCACGGGTTGTTGTGTATTTATCCAGCCTCACTYACCCCCAAACCCCAAATTCCTCTTCCTCGTAGGAAAAGGGTATAAACCTGACCCACATTGAGTCCCGACCTTCCCGTCTCAACAAGGATGAGTATGAATTCTTCATCAACTTGGAAGGCAAGAATGTCCCAGCGCTGGACAAGATCCTCAAGTCCCTGAGAAGTGACATTGGAGCGACAGTCCATGAGCTGTCCCGGACAAAGAAGAAGGACACTGGTGAGGACACGCTGACAAAATTAACATTGACCAGGGATTTCATGTCACACAGTGAAATTACTGATTTTTCCTGCAGTGAAGCAGAACCTCTTGGACCTTTATGGCTGCATTTCTCTCTCTCTCTGCTTGTTCTTCCTGCTCTTTCCTACTTTTTCATTCAGRGATTTTGGGTCAGTGCAGAATTTTTGCCATGCTTCTGGTCTCCTGGGAAACCCGGGAGGCTCTGCCACCCGCTTTGGTGGGAGAAGGACGAACTCTCCATCGCTGTAAGAAATCCCAGCTGCAGTTCTGCCTCTGCAGGGAAATGAGGGAAGGTTTTGTGAGTTGTTGATGCTCCTAATTCTTGGAGATTTGCTGGAGCTGAGGCTGCTTGGTGCAGCAGAGTCTGAGACAGGCTTAAATGCCTCCTCAGATAACAGATGTGATTTTAATAGGATTTCAGACTTTAAATGCTTTAGGTCTGGATCTTCCTCTTCCTTCCTAGCAGCAACATGAAAGGACATTAATACCTTCTTGAGATCARTGCTGGTAATCCTTTTACCGTTCCCTTTGTGTCCTACCCATGACATTACATTGGAAGATGAAAAAGAAGAAGGCAGATTCTCTTTGGAGTCACTTTTCTCCATTCATGAGGACAAAGGGACAAAAGGTTGATTAGGTGATTTATGATCATGTCAGATCGAAGAGGTTCACTTTTGGGGGCTTTTTTATTTCCAGAAGAAAGCTACAGGACCTAGCAGGGCTTAATATAACTTTAATTTATTTAGTTATGATGAAGAAGTTAATAATAAGCATTATTAAATAATAAAGTTGTGTTTAAACATAGGCCAAAGTCAGACAGAGCTCTAAATCCTACAGCTCTAAATATCAGCCAGGAAAGCCTTGAATGTGAAATTCTGACCTCACAGAAGTCAAAACTCCTGTGGCCAGCTGTAGGATRAGGATTTCACTGCATGTTACTGTGYTGATCAAAGGAGTTTTTGAGCTACATTATCCYGTCAGTGCTTCAAAAAGGGACTTGATCCCCTTCTGTCTGCAAGGATAACTTGTGTTTGTTAGCTTCAGTAATTCAGAAATGCTGTAAAATGGGAGCAATTTATTGCTGAGGAGAGAGAGGAAGATTGATATTTCTTTTTGCTCTTTTTTTTTTTTTTTTTTTTTTTGTATTTCAACTCCTCTCATGAGCAATAGGGGTCCGGTCAAACCGAAATCCCTAAAGAGCTGTATTTTGAAAGGTCAGACAAGCCCTGCTTAGGGGATGAGCTGTGGGTGGCAGATCCTGGGTGGAGCAGCCCGAGCTGGAGGAAGCTGGTGAGAGATGCTGTCCTTTATCAGCGATGCTCCTGACAAATAACAGCCTTGTGGGGCTTTTTATTCATTTATTTGTCTTTCAAATGCCAGCTCCTGGCAAATCTGGGCATCTGATTCCCAGAACACAGAACAAGAGCCCCGTGTCCCCAGGGAGCAGAATCCCAGCCGTGTGGTTTGTGGGGATATTGCCACACTTGGCTCAGTGGGCAGGTAAAGGATGGGAAGGTTTTCTTCCAGAGCCATTCTGGGATCCCATGGGATTGATTCTTKTGCTGCTGCCTAAGATGCTCTCATTTCTTCCCTGCTAAGGATTCATTTTGCTCATGCTCCTGATTTGAGAAAGAAAAACCTTATTTTTTCTGTTTCCTGTGGGAAGCAGACAGTACCATGCTTGGGGCRCTGCTTTGTGGGCACCCAGAGGAAATTTCTGTGCTCTGTCCCTTCTGTATAGCTCAGTGTTAAAAACTGTGTGCATGTGCTTTGTTGGGATAAATAAATGACTTTTTCTTTTTTATCTTTTTTTTTTTTTTTGGGGTCACTTTAACTGCTTTTAGAATCTTTCCTTAACTAAATGCAAAATTCAATTGATGCTTTCAAACAGTTGCAAATACCAGATTTGGATCAACAGTGAAATTTTAGGTGAGAGCAGGCCAGCCCCATGCTCCAAATCCAAATGTAGCTTTAGAGTTTCAGCTGAAAAAGGGCTGGCAGTCACTGGGCAAAAGATTCTTTGTGTAGATKGAAAGATTTGTTGTAAAAACACAGTGCATCTCTTAAAAGCTCTTTTTGGAAACAAAATTGGTATCTGCAGTCCACTTGGAGCCCRTGAATAAAAAATAATTAAATATTATCCTGTTGCAGCACGAGGGAAACGCAGACAATTTATTGCATTTCTGAGGATCTGTAGGGGCCTTGTTTGCCAGACCCTGAGGCTGGCCAGAGCGTTTGAGACTGCCTAAAAAAGGGCTAAACCTGGGCCTTGAACTGCTATAAATTGCCCAGACCTGTCTTTGACCCTGCTCACAATGGTCTGAGGGGAGGATTCCGCTCAGGTCCTGGCTGCCTCTGCCATCAATGGCTGATTAGCATTCTGCTGAGCGTTTGACCCCGGGCTAATCTGGTCACCACTTGGGTGTCCAGCCCCGTCCCATAAACGCTGCTGTTTGGCTGGCAGACAAATCAATATTTGTGACAGATCAGCCCCGCACAGAGCCCCAGTGTTGGSAGAGCTGGCCCTGGCCACTCTTTAATGGCTCTGCAGGCAGACAGCGGGTCTGGGCTGCAGCAGGATGCTGCAAACAAAATATGGGACCGATTCAGCCAGGGGGTAATTCGATTTGATGTTTGAAATGGTTTCTGGGAGGGCAGGGGACAGTGTGCTGGCACATCACAGCTGGGCAGGAGCCCCAGCAGCTTTTTTCACCCTCGATATGAGTGAGGGCAGGATAGACTTAACACAGTGTTTGCCCCAGGACCATGCTCAGAATCCTCGGTTCTTGCTTTCGTGAGATCTGAGAAGGCTCAGGACTTTCCAGGACCCAGCTTAACTCCAGYTATGCAGCTCTGAGCATCCTTGGGATTTGCCTTCCACAGCCCAGTGCTTCCACCCAGCCCCACAAGCTCAGAGCTGCTCCCCTTCAGCTGATGAGGAGATCAGGAACCTGATCCCAGCTCAGGAACCTGATCCCAGCTCAGGAACCTGATCCCAGCTCAGGAACCTGATCCCAGCTCAGGAACCTGCAGGGCTTTCATGCCAGGGGGATGAGCTGCTGCTCGTGTGCAGGGGAAAAGCAATCATCCATCTCCACACCCACATCACTTGAGGATTCCCTCGAGTTTATCGTGAGGTCTGCACCGAGTGCTAAGGCAATCTTGAGAATAAAATATTTAATGGAACTCAGTCAGTGTTGATTGTGAGGCAGCAATGGCTCAARCCCTGCCCATGGGTCCTTTCTGATTCAGGCCAGCAAAGCCCTGCAGACATTGCTGCTGAAATCCAGCTCAGCCTTCAGCCCACACCAATTTTTATTTTTTTTTCCACACAGCCTGGACCCTTCAGGTAGGGGTGGAACCCAGAGAAGAGTGGTTATTCTCTCTGTCACTGGCAAATCCTTTGCTGTGGGGCTGCCAGCAAAGTGCCTAACACAAAACCAGGAACAGTGTGCTCACCCCTGGCTGGTGGCGGCGAGTCTGGAGTGCAAGACAGTGAAACAATTCCCCCACAAAAGTCAGTGAGAGATAAACCCATACAGCAAACAGGGTTTGGCTGCGTGTGCTCCCTGTGGACCCCTCTCCAGGGATCAAACACACCTTTTACTGCTCCCCTCTCTGTCTGGTTGGGGTTGGAGGTGCAGGAAAGCTTCTGACAGCGAGGGGTGAGAGCGTTCCTGGGGCAACCCAGAGAGCCAGCAGCACRTCCAGCAGCGAGGAAATCCATCTGGGGACCTTGCTGGGTCTTCTGCTGCCATCTGGTGAGCTGCTCAGCTCTGATTTCCAGGGAGAAGGGAACGAGCACATCCCGGATCTCTGCTGAGCAGGGAGGGATCAGCTGCGTGCCCAGCACCAGCACCATCGGTGCCAGAAAGCTGCTCCATAAATTGCAAACTTATCACCCATAGAGGCTCCTCCAGGCAGTCATAGTGAATTGCCTTGATTTCCTTTTTTTCCATCTTGGCACACGGCATCTGGAAACGCCTGGGATTGTTCTTTGTGCTTCACCTGATGTTGTTCTGAAAGGAGAATAATCCCATGGGCGTTTCAGGCCGTGTGGGCAGCTTGGTCCCTCCTGTGCTGTGGACAGTGTATAGGATATGAGTTACAAGGAAACAGAGAACCAGGAAATTAATTAAAACCAAGAAAATTAATCAAATCCATGCATTAATGGGTGATGACTGCAGTGATAACCAGTCTGAGGTATTAGGATGCCATTTGTCATTTTGTTTCAGAATTCTGACTCAAATGGGCCCACCAAGTAATTCCTAGARTTTCAGGGAGTCCAAAAATTTTTTTYATCCTTGTTGTCAGGTTTCTTGTCRTTCCTTTGAAAGTGTTGATTCTGTCTTATTGTGAAAATTTTCTGCATTTTGATAAGCCAAGAGAGCAGAAGTAATAAACAGAAAATCATGAACTTYACAAGCCAGCTCTGCACCGAGGGTKAAACACTCCTGATGCTCTCTGCTCTTCCAACAGAGCAAAACAACCACAAATTCAAGACAACTTTCTTCACTTGCTTTTGTCTCCTACTACAGGGAAAAAGATCAAAACAATTTAGCACCTTGCATGTGTTTCTTTATATTTATGATGAAAAGATGAAAGTATCAGAAGAAGGCCCTCTACAAATAGCCAAGAATCACACCACCCTCTRCTTCTTTTCTGTTTTGCAGTGCCGTGGTTCCCAAGAAGCATCCAGGAGCTGGACAGGTTTGCCAATCAGATCCTAAGCTATGGAGCAGAGTTGGATGCTGATCACCCTGTAAGATTATTTTTTTTTTTAGCATTTTTCATCTGTTGGCACAGATGTTTCTCTCATTTACATTTGCTCTGCTTTAGGTCTAGCGGAGTAAATCTCACAGGACAAGAAGGCGACCACATTTCTAGGGTGATAATCAGTCCAAGTTCTGAAGTCAATCACACCAAAGGTGGCTGTAATTGGTCAAATGCCAGGAGACCTCAAAAATCACAGTGGTTGTCAGAGCACAGGGCCACCACGAGGACATCTCTGGCCTGCCCAGGTGGCTCTGGTGCAGCGATTTCAAGCTCACTTTGTGTATGACTAACCAGAAAAAAAGCAACATATCATACCCTGGAGATGGGAAAACTGGTTTTTTTCAGCCTTGGTTACATACACACAATTTAGCTCAGTGTCTCATCATGTGGTTTTTGAATCTGACATGATTGGTGAGAGACAACAAAAGAAAAGGTTCTCGGTTCAAAAAATTTGTGGTTTAAATGGTAGCCTCAGACAGTTTTGTTCATTACTTAGCTGATTAAAAAAAAATGGTTTTGGGGTTTTTCAGTGTTTTTCAGATAGGTGAATATTTTCTACCTCTATTCCCCCTGCGAGCAAACAACAACTTACTTTCATTTGTCAAAACACACTGAGCTCCATGCAGTGTGCCAGAAATTGCTGCTATTAGTTTAATTGAGATGGGGTGATTATAAATAAATCACACGCAGCGCCACAGAAATTGCTGCTATTATTTTAATTGAGATGGGGTGATTAGTCATTCAGTACCTATTGCCTAATTGGAGATGTGCTGTGGCCATGTGAAAGGCAGGAGGAAAGGAGGAGCACTGAGCCARTGGCCCCCTTGTGTGTGATCAGGATTGTTGTGAAAAATGAACCAAAAAACAACAACAACAACAACAAAAATATATAAAAAGGAATGAAGCATCTCTCCTTCACTTTCTAGAATCAGTTAGTGATCACTGGCGCCTTGAAAAAGGGTAAATAGGTGTGACAGTCTCCAGAGTGTAGRAAAAGAGAAATTAGACGAGCCTGTGCGTTTAGTAGTTAATTAATAGATAGAATTTAATCACAATGACCTCCATAACAGGTTAATTTTGGCCACTGGCTTGCCTCCTTTTACTCACTCTGTTAGATTTSCACTCCACTTGAGCTGCCTCCTGTGCTTGGCTGTGTTTTGTGGCCCCTGGGTCCGTTGGTGCCGTTCACCACCAAGGGATGCATTTTCCCAGCTTGGAAGGATGTTCCTACACTCCTGCTCCTGGGGATCTTTTACTCTGAGCAGCAGGCATGATGGGGCAGGATAACCTTTCYCTCTGGAGATTTAGAGGTTTTATTGCTCATCCTTCGTTTTATTGGTAATTAGCTGCAAAGGTCAAGCTCCCAACCACAAGGTCTGTTAGACATTCTTTGTAGTCATTAATTCCCTTCAAATGGTTGAATTTGTACTACAAATAATGGGGTTTTCTTGCCTGCTAAATGGCTACTGTTCCTCTAGCAGTTTCAAAATGAGTACTTTTRAGTCTGGTTCACGCTGAAAATCTGCCTTAAAAGTCTGATGGAGTTGATGAACGTGTTTCTAATGTGTTTTGATTCTGCTCCTCTAGAGCAGCCAAGGGACAGCACCAAGCCTGAAGGGAAACCAGAAGGGCACGGTTATCCAAGAGCTGATAATTCTGTGTTGCTCTTGCCAGGAGCACCTTGTTGCTGTAAAGGAGCAAGTTTCCCTGTCTTACAGGAGGTAGAAATGAGAGAATGCAAGGGCTTGGGGGGCGAGGGGCGGTGGGAGAGCGTGGCTGAAGGAAGGCAGAGCGGAGGCAGCTTTCCCCTGACCTCTCTGCACTGCCTGGCCTGCACCAGCCGTGCCTGAGGATGCTCTCTGGGAGGAAATCTCTTCAYCTTCTGCACTTGTGCACGGGCTGAGCGTGGCTGTGTCTCCTCAGGGGTTCAAGGATCCCGTGTACCGCGCCCGCAGGAAGGAATTTGCGGATATCGCCTACAACTACCGACAGTGAGTGCCCACAGAGCAAACCCTGCCCTCCTGCTCCCTGCCAGGCTGGCAACCAACCCCTGCTTTTCCAAACAATCCTCCTGCTGCTGCCTCTTCTCTCACCTGTTTAAATCCTCCTGTTCGTGTGTTTATCCCCGAATCGCGGCAAAACAAAAGCAAATTGTTCCAGGCACGCGTTCAGAAGAGACATCATCTCCCTTCTTTCCCCACAACACCCCTCTTTCCCAGCTTTGCTGTGTGATTGAGCAAATTTTGAGGCCAAAAACCTGAGCATTGAATGAATCTGGTATTTCCCATTAAACCAGTCCCTGTCATTAGCATTAAAGCAGGAGCTGCAAACACCATTAAAATAATGAATAACTTATGGTTCTGATGCTAATCCACTGTCTGRTATTCTACTTTTATCATTGCTGCAATCAGCAATTTAGGCTTTCATTTCCCAAGAAAAATAAAATAATGGAGATGATAAATTCAGTTAGAAYGAGCTTGTTTGATTGATCAGAGCTGGAGGAGAAAAAATCCTGTTCCCAGAGACAGGTGTAGGTGTAGATTGGTACCACTGGGCCTGATTCTTGCTGGGACTGGTAAAAACCGTGATTGCAAGGAAAAAATTAACATTTATGGTACATTTTGAGCTACGCTTTGCACAGGATGAAAAGATAGCCCCGAGCCAAAGCGCAAAAYGTAACCACAAAATGAGAGACAAAATTAGACTGGCTGATGGAAAGGACAAAATGTCAGGTGAAAAAAGGCAGAAGCCCAGTTTAGAGCTAGAAAATTTGGATAAGATTTTCTGYCTGGATCTAATGTCCATTCCTAGATATCTCACAGAAGCTCTACCTTTCCTGCATGATGTATCACAAATTCTGGTCTCTAGTTCTCAGGTTTTCACCAAATCCTACACAGAATTTAAAATATTAACCACCCCTTCCCCCTGAGATTCAAACTGGAACTGATATATTCCAAGATGTAACTTACTAATATTCAGTCTGTTATCCAAACCTTTTTCCTTTGCTCTTTTGCCTCCTCTCCTGATAGATTTACTCACTGTTTTTGTTGAATGCTCAATTTCCCTGGCTTCTGCTTTGCTTTTAGGTTGCCTTTTCCCCATGCCTTCCTTTGCTTCTGGCCCCATTGATCCCTAGAATATTTTCTTTCAATTGCAATTTGAAAGGTTTTTAAGCCATAGCTTCCCCCTGCAGTCCTTGAAGGTAGTTGAGGATTATTTAGGTGTTTTGGAGGAACAAAAATCCCCCAGCAATCCTCATAATTCAACAAGATGTTTAAAGCTCCACAGATCAAGGAGAGCTGATACAGAGAGGCAGAAAATGATGGTTCTCCAGAGGAGCTGCCCTGAGGCTCGAGGGGAAAATGAGGGAGTGGGAGATGGTGGGGTGTCATCAAGAGTKTAACAATGGGGCTCTGGGGCTTGGGAAGCTCCAGCATTATTCCAGCAGTGATGTTAACCCTATTAAATCACTTAAAACCCTTTGATTTCCCAAAGCTGCTGGGTTCACCTGTGGCCCTGACATTATTGCAGAGGAATTGATTATTCACAGGAGGCCAAGCTGCTTTGCCTGGGACCATGTAACTCCTGTCAGATTCCACAGGATCTGAGCACATGGAGGCCTGGCGTGGGATTTAGCTCATAATTACTCCTTACAGTCAGAAAAAAGTCAAACTGGCTGGAGTCTGCTTCTGTTATGGCACAGATCAGAATTTCCCTGCCACTGCAGCACAGTTTTATGGAGCTGATGGTTTCCCTGCTTTTACAAAAACAATATTTTTGTAAAATTTTGTAAATTAAACAGCTCCTTCATATCTAGAAGTACAAATAAATCAAAACCCACAGCCARCAAGTGTTTTTAGAAGAGCACCTTCATAAGACAAATCAGCACTGATTTATTTTGAACACAATAATGCAAGGAGCTGTCTAAAGGCCAGAATCTCAGCCCAGGTCAGTAGATTCCCTTCCAGCCAGTGCCTGGGGACAAGTGAGGCTCCTTTTGCAGCTGCATGTCAGCCCAAAGGCACCTCTCCACTGCTCCAGCAGCTCCTGGACGGAGCAGTCCTGGTAAAGCTGAATAAGAATTCTTTGTGAAGCAGAATAAGGAAACTTCAGAAAATGGCAGGTGGGAAAGGACAAAGAGCACGATGCTGATGGCACAGGCGTTTTCTCTTTCTGCTGTTGAGGGTGYCCATCTCCTTTCCAGTGGCCAGCCTATTCCTCGTGTCACCTACACGGAGGAGGAGAAGAAAACCTGGGGCACGGTGTTCAGGGAGCTGAAGACTCTGTACCCAACCCATGCCTGCTACGAGCACAACCACGTGTTCCCWCTGCTGGAGGAATACTGTGGCTACCGGGAGGACAACATTCCCCAGCTTGAAGATATCTCAAATTTCTTGCAGAGTAAGTTTGAGGCCCTTGAAAGAACCAAACGAAATGAAAGGCCTCAGCTATCGGTGGGAGTGGTTCTTCCAGAGAAGGGAAACAATCCCTGATTTTTCACAAGCTCCCTAAGGTGTTTGGGTACATCACTTAGTCCTTCTGTAATGCTTCTGGGGGTACCACGGGACAGATGCTCAGACACTGTGCTGGTGGTGCACATGGGCAGAAATATTTAACATAAGGAGATTAACAAAACCCCAACCAACCAACAAGCTTTTCACAGCATGAGGAGCCTGGGCAAGGCTAAACCACACACGGGAGCTGTTTTTAAGATGCCATTTTTTGTGTCCCTGCAGGCTGCACCGGGTTTCGCCTGCGCCCTGTGGCAGGATTGCTCTCCTCTCGGGATTTCCTGGCGGGGCTGGCGTTCCGSGTGTTCCACTCCACGCAGTACATCCGCCACGCTTCCAAACCCATGTACACCCCCGAGCCGTGAGTACTGG